CTATTTAGGGGCTCAAACGGGTGTATTCCTTGCATGTAAGCACATGATTCATCTAGGATATGCATCATCTCCTCAACCTCATCATCAATCATCAAGCTATCAAACAACATGAGTGCTTTTTCTAGAGAGTCGTCTAGATATACGCTCGTGTCAAGAAGTTGCTCATCTACCTCCACAACAGATATCATAGAGAGCTCCTCATATTGGCGGGGAAGTTGGATTGCTTTGTAGACATTAAAGACTACTTCCTCGTTGTCCACCCTCATAATCATTTTCCCCTCTCTCACTTTAATTATTGCATCACCAGTAGCCAAGAGAGGTCGTCCCAATATGATTGGAACTTGTTCATCAGCCTCAAAATCTAGAATAATGAAGTCAGCTGGGAAGATAAATTTCCCAATTTGCAGCAGCATATCTTCAATCACTCCTTCAGGGTAGGCTATGGACCTATCAGCTAATTGCAATATCACAGTGGTTGGTCTTGGAGCTCCCAGACCCAATTGCTTAAACAAGGACAATGGCATCAGATTTATGCTCGCCCCCAAATCACAAAGAGCACGACCCACATCAATATTACCGATTCGCACTGGGATGGTGAAGCTGCCAGGATCCTTAAGCTTTTGAGGAAGCTTGTTTTGGACCCTTGAAGTGCACTCCTCAGTAAGTGCAACTGTCTCGAACTCAGTCAATTTCCTCTTGTGAGCCACTATATCTTTTATGTACTTAGCATACTTTGGAATTTCACGAAGTACATCCACCAATGGAATATTTAATTGAACATGACTCAACATAGAGAGAAATTTGTTGAACATACGATCGTCATTCTTTTTCTGCAATCTCTGGGGGAAAGGTGGTGGTGGCCTTGCAGCCTCCACTGGCTCTGAACTTGCATCATTTTTCTTTGACTCGTGTATTGCCTTAGGGGTCAGCTCCCCCTCAGGTATAGGTTTGTCCTTTCTCTTCTTTGGCACTTCCTCTAGTTCCCTCCCGTTTCTGAGTGTAACTGCATTAACTTGAGGGTTCTTCTCTGTATCACTAGGAAGAGAGCTTGTAGGTCTAGTATTTTGATTTGCTGCTAACTGCCCTATTTGCCTCTCAAAATTTCTGAAATCGGTCCTGAGCTGTTGATTGTCAAGTAACAACTTTTTTAGCAAGTCATTCGCACTCTCTTCTGTTTGTTGGGGTGGCTTCTGAGGCTGATTGAAATTTCCTTGAGGCCTATACTGATTCCGATTCTGTTGATTTCTGCCCCATGAGAAATTAGGATGATTCCTCCAATTTGAATTGTAAGTGTTCCTATATTGTGCATGCTGATTCATCAGATCTCTGTTTTGTTGCCCCACATAATATATAGATTCAGGATTCGTAGGGCACATGTCACTCATATGACTATCACCACATAGTTCACATCGAATAGACATTTGTTGTACATGTTGCATCTGTTGTGTTTGTTGCATTGTCATTTTGTTCATCTGATTTGCCACCTTTGCAATATCTGCTCTCATGGCTGAGAAGTCATCAAGCTCAATCACCCCGGCTGCCTTCTGTTTTATTGATCTTCTTGCATCCCCATCTCCTTGCCAATTATGGTCATTAGCAATGAAGTTATTTAGCAAGAGTTGTATTTCACTATACGGCCTCGCCATGCAACTACCCCCATAAGCTGAATCAAGATTCATCTTTGATGCCTCGTCTAGCCCATCAACAAAAGTGTGATCCAATACCTCATCAGTCTGACAATGATGCGGGCAGTCTCTGAGTGGCTTCTTGTATCTTTTCCAAGCTTGACGAAGTATCTCTCCATCCCATTGTTGGAACCCAAGAATTTGGCTCCTCAGCGAATTTGTCTTCTTAGTAGGGAAAAACTTGATTAGGAATTTCCTTGCTAAATCATCTCAAGAGTGGATTGAGTTCGTGGGCTACTTTTGCAACCATTCCTTAGCTTCCCCCAACAATGAAAAAGGAAATAGTGTCAGCCTGATATAGTCCTTGGAAACGTTCGGATAATTGTAAGTGTCCGTAATTTCCAAGAAGTTTTGAATGTGCCTCTGCGGGTCTTCATGAGATAGACCCACATATTGCCCCGTGGACTGAATCAGTTGTACCATGTACTGTATGAGTTCAAAATGCCCCGTGATTTCAGGCTTCACGATAACCTGAGTCATATTATCAAGATTGGGCCTAGCGGCTTCTATCACCGGACGCTCCTCATTACCTGCCATCTCTATTGGCTGTGGTTGAACTACGATGTCCAACTCTCTTTCTATTCTCGTTCTAGCTTTGACTTCCCTCCTCACTCTATGAAGTGTTCGTTCAATTTTTGGATCAAAAGGAAGGAGGTTGTTTGCACTTCTACTCCTCCGCATTCAAGAGAAGATCCTGCGTTAACACAAACAAGGCAAACTGAAAATTAAAACTTGAACAAATAAGTAATAAAAGTTTAACTCAGTCAAATAGCTAATTTCTAGGTCCCCGGCAATGGCGCCAAAAACTTGTTGCGACCAAACACACTCACGCAAGTATACGTGGTCGTCAAGTAATATAGTAATGAGTAGAGTATCGTTCCCACGAA